TATAAGGCATAACGGAAAAAAATTGTTTCTCTCTAAATATGATAGTTTTCATGATAATAGGCAAAAATGGAAAAAAATGGTAAAATTTGTCATTTATGGGCAATAACTCCCATAAGAATTTGTCTAACAGTTTTGGACAATTGGTAGAGCTCATTATTCTGAACATTTTTGCTCCTTTCAGATTTTCTCTGTTTATAACGGTTCAAAAAATAATAAGACAAAACTTGCATTTTACCCCTATGTTCTATTTTTAGCCATGTCGCCCATGTTGGTTGGTAAGCGGGGTCATCGGACACATTTTTTAAAACTAAACACCCTAGTAATGATTGTGGCCAAGTTTGGTTATATTTGTCTCAGTAGTTTCAGAGGAGACGATTTTTATAAAAGATTACAAAAATTTACAAAACTTTGTTAAAAATTGACTATAAAGGGCAATAACTCCTTAAGGGGTCAATTGACCATTTTGATCATGTTGACTTATTTGTAGATCTTACTATGCTGAACATTATTGCTGTTTACAGTTTATCTCTATCTATAATAATATTCAAGATAATAACCAAAAACTGCAAAATTTCCTTAAAATTACCAATTCAGGGGCAGCAACCCAACTTTGGCTTGTCTGATTTGTCTGAAAAGTTCAGGGCAGATAGATCTTAACCTGATGAACATTTTTATGTCTGTCAGATTTGCTCTAAATGCTTTAGTTTCAGAGATATAAGCCAAAATCTGCATTTTACCCCTATGTTCTATTTTTAGCCATGTCAGCCATATTGGTTGGTAGGCAGGGTCATCGGACATATTTTTTAAACTAGATACCCTAATGATGATTGTGGCAAAGTTTGGTTAAATTTGTCTCAGTAGTTTCAGAGGAGAAGATTTTTGTAAAAGATTACAAAAATTTACCAAAAATTGTTAAAAATTGACTATAAAGGGCAATAACTCCTTAAGGGGTCAATTAACCATTTTGGTCATGTTGACTTATTTGAAGATCTTATTTTGCTGAACATTATAGCTGCTTACAGTTTATCTCTATCTATAATAATATTCAAGATAATAACCAAAAACTGCAAAATTTCCTTAAAATTACCAATTCAGGGACAGCAACCCTACAACGGGTTGTCTGATTTGTAATAAAATTTCAGGGCAGACAGATCTTGACCTGATGAACAATTTTAGCCCGATCAGATTTGCTCTAATGCTTTGGTTTCAGAGATATAAGCCAAAATCTACATTTTACCCCTATGTTCTAGTTTTAGCCATGGCGGCCATCTTGGTTGGAGGGTCGGGTCATCGGACACATTTTTTAAACTAGATACCGCAATGATAATTGTTGACAAGTTTGGTTAACTTTGGCCAAGTAGTTTCATAGAAGATTTTTGTAAAAGTTAACGACGGATGATGACGACGGACGACGGATGACGGACGCCAAGTGATGAGAAAAGCTTACTTGGGCCTTTGGGCCAGGTGAGCTAAAAAAGCATAGTAAAATCTTCATTAAGGCAAAGTATAAGAAAATTCTATCTGAGGAAATATATACCGCTAATCCACCTTAAATAATTTTCGAGAGCATTTTACGGAATAAGCATTATTTTTTAAGATAAAGAAAAATACCCTAAAAATTTATAGTATACAGAAATTAAGGACGCCCATACATATGGCAAGCCGTTGAGGAATTTATTCCCTTTTTTTAATATTGATTTATATTGGAAAATCATTTTTAATATTAAAAAATGATATGATTTTCTAATATTCTAATCAAAATTCCCTAATGACAGTAGTGCTTATTATCAATTTTAAGAAATTAATTTGCAGATTAATTAGTGCAATATAGCATCATATTTTTTCAACCGCTCTCTCAACATGGGAAGGAAGTGATGATGCCCCTAAACGCACAAATGAGGTTCACTAAAACCAAAGATTTTGACGGAAATGCAACAAACTGGAAAGTGGTCTATTAGTGTGATTTCACGGTCTTGCCAATCTCTTTTTATATATGTCTCTTGTAGAACTAAGTGTTCTGGTAATTTTTGCTGTTTCTCAATATCTATTATATTAGTATTCAAAAAATGAAAACACTGTAATTTTCATGCGTCCGAAGTTCTTTTCTGGAATAACCTTCTTAAAGAACGCTCAAAGCTAAATATTTGAAAGCCAAAGCTGTATAAGAACCAAAACAGTTGAGCTATGAATCACCAAAATGGACCTAAAAATAAAAGCCAAAATCTTTGTCTCAGGGAATTGAAACCTAATAATTTCTTAATAATTTTATAATTTATAAACGGACAATTTAAGAAAGGTTTGTTATAAATCATGTCAATACCCAAGTATTGAATACTGATACCCTTGGGGACTGGTAGTCCACATGCTGTGGTATCAACCCAAAATAATAAAGAAAAAATTTCAAACTGGATTGCCCTATTTTTCTGAAAATTACATAGAGATAAATCTGAACTGTAGATCATTTTACTCTTGCTAACTGCTTTAATTATTGAAAGTCACACCAAAAAGTACATTTTACCCTAGGCCATGTTCTTTTTTAAGCATCAGTGGCCAAGTCTTTCTAAACTAGATACTCTAAGAAGCATTCAGATAAAGTCTGGTAAATTTGGCCTTGTAGTTTCACAGGAGATTTTTTTAAAGGTTAGGATGAAGGATGCTTAGTGTTGGTATTAAGCTACTTTTCAGCATTTTTTGTTTATTTTGTATGAAAATGAATGTTGGTTTTTTTTGTTCAACTGATACACAATACACAATCAATAGGCAATACACAATCTGTTCCTTGAACTGCTTTTTCAAATCAACATGTGACACAAGTCCCACAACATACATGTACACACACTGGCCTCTAAAAACACTGCAAAGGATCTCATTTGTGTAGAGAGCACACTGTAGCACAAAAGTGAATAAAAAAACCACAAAGGACCTAAACAACGTGTTTTTATCCCATATGTATGCAGTGTGCGTCTTTCGAAATATTAACTTGAATCCATTTAAACAATTTCTACAAGTTCATAAGTTGTGGCTATCACTTTTGTCTCGTTGATCAGAAATAAAATAGTCATAAACTAAACTTAACCGAGTGATTGAAATAAAATCATGTGAAACACTCCTAATTTCAGAAACCTCTTTCCTGTTACTGGCATTTGCCGTCCAGATTTAATCTAAATTTTTAGATCTAATAATTGAGCAGATACACCTGCTTGCAGAAAAAAAAACTAGTAAATGAAATACCAAAATTAAAAATGAATGAGTATTTTATGTTTCATAAATTAAGTGTTAAAATCAAAAAAGCTTTTGTCAAACATTACTTCATTATTATCTGGAAAGAAGAGAGTTAAATGTTTAAGGTAACTAAGGGGCATAACTCTTGAACGTTTATTCTCAAAACCATCAAAATGGACCTTGAACAGTTTTTCGATGATCAATATTATGTACAATTTCAAAGGATTGGGTCAAGTGGTACTATAATTATCATTCAGAAATCAAAGAAATAACATTTTCAATGGCAAGTCGCAAACCTTGAACAGTAATTGTGAAAATTAAAGAACCTTTGTGAGCACGCTCACATACCCCATGCTCCCACATTGTCACTGGACAAACAAAATCTCACCAGATTCCTAAGTTCAAAGACTCATAACTCTACAAAAGTCAACTGATAAAAATTTTCTTGTGGATATGCACATTTATATATTATGTCCTCATTACCTACAAAGTTTCATGAAATTCTGTTGTGTGGTTTCAGAGGAGTTGCGATGACAAACTGTTGCAGTAGTATATTGAGGCCACTAAGTTCAAAGGGGCATAACTGCTAGAAAAAAAATTGAATCATAATTTCCTGTCGATATGCACATCTACATAGTATGTCCTTATTATCTACAAAGTTTCATGAAATTCTGTTGTGTGGTTTCAGAGGAGTTACGATGACAAACTGTTGCAGAAGTATATTGAGGCCAATAAGTTCAAAGGGGCATAACTCCTAGAAAAAAAATTGAATCATATTTTCCTGTCGATATGCACATCTACATAGTATGTCCTTATTATCTACAAAGTTTCATGAAATTCTGTTGTGTGGTTTCAGAGGAGTTGCGATGACAAGAACAGGACTGACAGACGGACGGACAGACAGACAGACGGATGGGTCAAAAACATTATACCCTCCGCAACTTTGTTGCCTGGGGTATAAAAATCAAAATCTAACTTGACCTATACTGTTATGGTCCATGACATTCTCAAATAAATTTCATTAACGAGACTATTCATATAATATTACTATAACTTCTATCCCTTAAATATTTAGGCTTAAACAAAACTAACACAATATTCATGTTGCTGATAACCCAGACAGCTCATCTGGACACCAGATTTTAATGATTTTTAAAACAATATCCATGTATACAAATTGTAAGCATATATACATAAAAGATAATCATAAAAATTATAATTGATGAAATGCTTCTATGCTGTATTTTAAATTAAATACCAAATAATGACAAAATCTCTATCATCATCAATCTCCCTGCCAGGAACAACAATGACAACCAACTAAAGCAAGTGAACTTGATCAAACTTCTTTAAAAACTGAATTTGTAGTGGGAAAATGTTGGAAACCTGAGTCCAAAACCTAATGCTCTGAAGACTGTCTCAGGAAGTATACTTTAGACAGTATAAAAAAATGTATAATTATTCAGAATAAAACAATTGATAAAAATATAAATTATATCAAACTCAGCTAAAAAATAAAAGAAGAATGTGTCTGAGGACACGATGCCCTTGCTCAAGCTTTGCAATTTTAAAAATTGTAAAAAGGAGCATAAATCTAGAAAAGTAAGTGACTCGCTGTCCAAATTTGCAACTTTCCAACTGTTAAAGGGGCATTACTCTTAAAAGTTAGTGCGGAAACAAAAATGGGACAAAAGGAACAACAAAAGGACAGAAGGACGCCAAGGGTAACACTTAATGCCTCCTTTCCCTATGGCAGGGGCATAAAAAAACGAAAAAAGTCGGAAAAGATATATATTTAACAACGGTGAAAGCCAAAATATACATTTCTCATTTTTTTCTTTTTTTTTTAGATTCTCCATTCTTAACTTCTGGAAGTGTTTTGACTAGACACGGACCATTATTAATATATCTAAAAGAGTAGGTCTTCAAATAAAATTGGTCCATTTCAATTCATTTTCAAAGTACCAATTAAATCTAGCCACAGGGGAAAAAAAATAATGAATACAATCTGAACTATGAACACAAAACTAAACTATACATACCAAAAACCAGTTCAGTATCAATATGCATGACAAAAAAATTGTCAAGAATGGACATGAGTAGAGCTACCTGAATATATCCTTTGGTTTTAATGGTAAAAAGAGAGATTTTAAAATTCAAAATAAGTTATCTATAACTTACAATCTTGTTGAAAATGGAGAATCTTTACACTATTTTTTTTTTTTTGTAAAAAATTATAAACATTTTCTCAAACATACACAAAAATTGTCTGAATTACATTCTTTACTGGTACAGTCACCCAATCATTTTCATGCAGCCACAGTTAAAGTTACCTGAAAAAGAAATATTCATTCTTAAACATATCTGTCAAAACTATATTTAATGCAAAAGAATAATTAACTGGGCATTACAATTATGATGCATATAACATTTCTTTACCTAGCTTTAAAGTGACTCGTGGACATAACTTTTAGACTACCAGTCTTTGTTGGCAAAAAAAGATGAAAAACAAGTCGTTGTTTGTTGTCTATCATATTTTTTGTTTTGTTTATAGTTTTATCCTATATCAAGTCATTGGTTTTCTCATCTGAATTCTTTCACATTTTGTCATGTTGGGGCCTTATATAGCTTACAATACAGAATAGGTTTTGCTCATTGTTGAAGACCATAAAATGGCATTCTATAGTTGCAAACATCCTTGTCATGTGGTTTCTAGTTGATAAATGTCTCATTGGCAATCATACTATATTTCTTAAGGTAGATGGGGTGTCTAAATTATAATCCATAGAATTTTTTAATAATTTGCCAAAATGTAGTTTATATCATGCTTTTTAAAAAATAATAATAAAAAGAATGGGTCACAGGGCTTATTTTCACGCTACAGGTTGTGCAAAATTGACAGATTTTGTATAGATTATGCATGGAAAACCCAATTTTCTGCCATAAAACAAAAACTACACCATAGAATTTTGAGATAAAATATGAGAAGATAGCTCTAATAGTATGCTTTCAGATAAGAAAAAGAAAAAATAGGGTCACGGGACCCATTTTCTTGCTACATAATAAAATTGGTAAATTCCTAACACATTCTATTGTAAAAGTAACTTTATCTGAATTATCTGCCCTTACATTTGAGTTGCCTCCCCTTATGTGGCAAAGTTGGAAAAAATAGAATCAAACAAAAGTATTCTGTTTTTTTGTAATATACAACCATAAATATGATAAAATATGTTATTTTCTATATTGAAATGAAAATTCTTACACATGAATTACCTACTACTCTCAAAATTTGCACCTTTTATTAAAGATCTAGACCGATTGTCTTCTGGTATTTCAAAATCCAAGATGGAGGAAGACACCCTATCTACCTTAATTTCTATATAGTGGGATTAATTTAGATAAAAAAAAAAAAACAGAGAGAAGATATCCAAAATTCAAATCTTTGACTTCCCTTATTTGTATCTTGATACCCCCTTCCAAATTATACATACACTTATAACATGAAAAATCTAGTGACATGCTCCAAGTTGAATAGTTCATAAATCTATGTACTGATTCTTACCATAAAAGTCAGCTCCAATGGCCATTCCCAACCTCAATCCTTACGGACAAGCTGTGATGTTAACCTGAAATATAAAATGCTTCATTATCAAAAATTGTTTAAATTGATCATTGTTGGTATACTTATATATGTAGGACTCTAAAGTGCGATGGTACTCTAAAGTGCGATGGCCACGCTAAAGTGCGATTGTCTACGCTAAAGTACGATGGTGTCTCACGCTAAAGTGCGATGGTTGTTTATTTGCTAAACCGTACGATGGTACATGTATATCACGCTAAAGTGCAATGGACCAATAGGGTAAGGTTCGAGGGACTAAAACGTTAAAATACATGGATTTAAAAATAAAAATAGTAATTTTGCAAAAGTTAGTATGCTAAGGCAATTATAGTTTGAGGTTGGGCGATTATTTTAGCCATATTGACTGGACTATAACATATGTGAAAGGCTTTATAATTTACCGGTAGGCTTAAGTGATTGTTTCTAAACTTAGAAGACCGACCACGTAATAATTGCTAAAAAGGTAATTTAGGTGTGACAAAATACTGTATTTCCTGTTAAATGAATTGTTAACAATTTGAGCGTAGCAAATATTTGGATAATTGGTGTAGCTTGTCGCTCACACAGTCTATCAATACCCAATCTTAACATCCCCCCTTTTACAGTCGTCTGACATTGTAAATTACAAATACAAAATGCGTTCATTGTCGGAATAAGTAACACTTATTTGTATACAAGGCTTGAAGCATTAATTTAAATGCAAGAAAAATGCTATATTCGCCAAGCTTTCTCCTTTTTTGTAACGAATACTAATACATGTTATATTTTCCTACACTGTACAAACTTATGTTTTAGCCGACAAATTATAATTTACACCTAAAAACATGTACCTTTATTTAATGATTTAAATGTATCCGTTCGCTTCCAATAGTAGCAGGATACAGGATACCTATGCGTATACTATTTTGTATCTATATAGTAAAATGGTCGACTGCAAGTCCTTCTTCCAGCACCCCCAAAAAACACATTTGCTTCAGCCGACAAAGCACGGTTAGATCTGAAATTAAGCATGGACATTTGGTTTTAAAATTGTCAATCAAGTATTCTTAATTTATATTACGGCATATTCATTTTGATTTGTATTTATAAACGAATGTTAACGTCACAATCCAACTACGTTTCTTATGTCTATACTTTCGCGGACCATCGGACTTTAGCGTATGGAGGCATCGCACTTTAGCGCAGACCATCGCACTTTAGCGTGACCATCGTACTTTAGCGTCCCCATCGCACTTTAGAGTCCTACATATATATTTAATATAAATACTGGTAGTCTATAAATGTGTAATAGATGTTGAGAACATGTGGATTAGACAGCTATCCAGCAACCCAGCAAACTTTTATATAATTACATCAGATCCTAAGATTTACTTATATAATGGTAGCTGATAAACGAAAGAGTAGACTTCTTACCAACTCCTAAAAGCCTAGAGAGAATTTTCCAAAGAAATTTTATAATACATTTGGTTTTTTTTTCTCTTCAAAACTGGAATAACATTCTGGTACTTACCTTCCTTTTAGATGTATTAGACCCCAAAGTTTTATAATCCAACACCATGAAAATCATGTCACAGAAAGGTTACCTAAAAAGGAATTAAAATGGATACATTATTATATATTTTATAAATCCATTTCTGTCAACATAAACATTTACTAAATATTGTTTTGATTTCTTACTTCATGTTCACAATAGTATAACATCAACACCTAAATTTGTAAAATTAATATATAAAGATGGAAAACTAAAAGGAAGTCAAAGAATAATGATTTGAATATCAACTGCATTAAAATCTGAATATTTTACAGAGTTATCTCCCATTGAATTAACAAATCTTGGAAGCTCTATTCCAATCTCAGGATTTACTCTTGCTATTTTTTTAGAAAATCTTGTTAATATACTTGGTACAAATTGTATCTTTAAATATTAAACTGGTAAAATAATTCTCGGTCTGGTAGATGTTTTCACAATTTTTAGTTTTCAGTTTTCTAACTTGGAAAATATGTTCTAACCCTTCACATGGCTACTGTGAGAAAAACATTTATAATGTCTAATACAGTTATCTTTTAATTATTTTTGTTTTAATTATCCTGATAAGAATTCAACTGGCCAATGTACATGTAATGGTGTATAATATCATACCATTAGTATTTGCAGAACTTTCTTAAAATGGTGTTGATTCTTTATAAAGGTATTTAAGTTGATTTCTTATCCCATTTAAATCAATAGTCAATACCCTATTTTTATTTCTTTAAGACAAACAATTACACACATAGGACATATAAAGACCATCAGAAATAATAAATATAGTATTGTAACCTATATATCTCTGTAAGAACTCTGTAATGGAAATAAATAATAAAGATTAGTGATGTTTGAAAAATTGTTGTCACTTCTATCAAAGCAGGCTCTCTTAAAAGCTTACAGTAGACTTAGCTTCATCTGTGATAAAAATAAAATATATAGAGTATAGAGTTACGGAAATCTATATGCCACTCTTCCAGGTCTGTTAGCCATATTCAAGGTCGACAACTGAAACATCCTCTCTAAGCTGAATCTGCAAAAATCCAAAATTACAAATTAAACATCTGTGAGTGAACTCTGAAATGATATATAAATATACTAGTCAACAAAAGTAACGATACACAAGTTTGAACTCCAATTTATCATAAAATATAATAAAATAGGAAAAACTGTTAAATTATCCAATGAAAAACATTCATTTGCAAAGCAAATGCATATGATTAAAAGAATCTGACCAAAATGGAAAGTGAGAAACTACCGTGTTATATAAAACAGCGGTCAAATTTATTTTGCGGAACATAGATTTTATTACAAATTTATTTTATTGAACATAGATGGTCCTCAAATAGTCAAAAAATATCATAGAGACTTAAGGGCTACAGTTCCGCAGCTACCTTACCATCAATTCTTTGAAGAAACCTATATAAAAAATAAATATATATACAACAATATACATGAAAATATATAAAATGAAATAAATCAACCAATCTTACTATTAAGTGCGGAACCAAAGCTTTTAATTAGGTCCTTATGATATATTATAAAGACCTAAGAGCTACGGTTCCGCAGTTACCTTACCATCAATTCTTTGAAGAACCCTATATAAAAAATAAATATATATACAACCAAATACACATGAAAATATATAAAATGAAATAAATCAACCTATCTTACTATAAGGTGCAGAACCATAGCTCTTAATTAGGTTCTTATGATATATTATAAAGACTTAAGAGCTACGGTTCCACAGCTACCTTACCATCAATTCTTTGGAGAAACCTATATAAAAAATAAATATATATACAACAATATCCATGAAAATATATAAAATGAAAATAATCAACCAATATTACTCTTAGGTGCGGAACCGTAGCTCTTAATTAGGTCCTTATGATATATTATAAAGACCTAAGAGCTACAGTTCCGCAGCTACCTTACCATCAGTTCTTTGAAGAAACCTATATAAAAAATAAATATATATACAACAATATACATGAAAATATATGAAATGAAATAAATCGACCAATCTTACTATTAGGTGCGGAACCATAGCTCTTAATTAGGTCCTTCAGATATATTATAAAGACCTTAGAGCAACGGTTCAGCAGTTACCTTACCATCAATTCTTTGAAGAAACCTATTCAAAAAATAAATATATTTACAACCATATACACATGAAAAAATATAAAATGAAATAAATCAACCAATCTTACTATTAGGTGCGGAACCATAGCTCTTAATTAGGTCCTTATGATATATTATAAAGACCTAAGAGCTTCGGTTCCGCAGCTACCTTACCATCAATTCTTTGAAGAAACCTATATAAAAAATAAATTTATATAAACCATATATACATGAGAATATATAAAATGAAATAAATCAACTAATCTTACTATTAGGTGCGGAACCATAGCTCTTAATTAGGTCCTTATGATATGTTATAAAGACCTAAGAGCTACGATTCCGCAGCAACCTTACCATCAATTCTTTGGAGAAACCTATATAAAAAATAAATATATATACAACAATATCCATGAAAATATATAAAATGAAAAAAATCAACCAATCTTACTATTAGGTGCGGAACTGTAGCTCTTAATTAGGTCCTTATGATATATTATAAAGACCTAAGAGCTACGGTTCTGCAGCTACCGTACCATCAATTCTTTGAAGAAACCTATATAAAAAATAAATATATATACAACAATATATATGAAAATATATAAAATCAAATAAATCAACTAATCTTACTATTAGGTGCAGAACCATAGCTCTTAATTAGGTCCTTATGATATATTATAAAGAATTAAGAGCTACGGTTCCACAGCTACCTTACCATCAATTCTTTGAAGAAACCTATATAAAAAATAAATATATATGCAACCATATACACATGAAAATATATAAAATGAAATAAATCAACCAATCTTACTATTAGGTGCGGAACCATAGCTCTTAATTAGGTCCTTATGATATATTATAAAGACCTAAGTGCTACGATTCCAGAGCTATCTTACCATCAATTCTTTGAAGAAACCTATATAAAAAATAAATATATAAACAACAATATACATGAAAATATATAAAATGAAATAAATCAACCAATCTTACTATTAGGTGCGGAACCATAGCTCTTAATTAGGTCCTTATGATATATTATAAAGACCTACGGTTCCTCAGCTACCTTACCATCAATTCTTTGAAGAAACCTATATAAAAAATAAATATATATACAACAATATCCATGAAAATATATAAAATGAACTAAATCAACCAATATTACTATTAGGTGCAGAACCATAGCTGGTCCGAGTACACAGTTATTTCGTAGTGCATTTCTTTTAGACAATAAATGAAAATTAAAAAAATCCCACCTGCGCTTTCTCAATAATATTTTTACAGTGTGTTGTACTACTTTTGGGACAAATCATATCAAAATTATAGAAAACTTCATCGGCTCTAACTCAAAATATGGACAATTTTATGTTTAGGGGGTCTTGAAATCTTTTGACAGCTTCCGAAGTGCTAATTTTTAACCTTTTTCAGCTGGACCAAATCACTACTTTACTTTAAAATTCATGACCCAAATTTTTTTTAAGGTCATTTCACCCCCTTACTTGCTATTTGAGGCATAAAACATGGAGAAATAAATTTGGAAGGGGTATAAAAAAGATTGGCAAGTAACACACTGTCCACACTAAGGACTATATTCGTGGACAACGAAAATCAAAGGACGATAACTGTGTACTCGGACCTAATAGGATAGAAAACGTTGACCAATCTTAATAAAACTTGGTATGACCAAAGCTTAATAAATTATAAGACTGCTTACAAAGTTTTATGGCAATAGGATATATATTATAGACAATATGATTAATTCTATATTCAACTTTGCGTGTTAAATTTAGACGTTAAAATTGAAAAATTTCAACTATCAACATTTGGGGCTTTTAAAATTCAAATTTTGCAAAAAATACTTTTAAATGCCTTAATATATAATATATCATGTATTAAAAGCAATAGAGTACTCATTTGAAAAATCAGACTTAGCATAATTATTCAAAAGTCAAATCTATATGAGCCTGTGCCTAAAAATGGAAGTTTTCCAATGAAGGGGGGCATTACATGAAGATGTAATATTTTCCAGCAATTTTAAATTTGTGAAGCTTTTTGGTTATATATAATCCTTACATTTGTATTTAATGTACTTTAAATAGAAAGAAAACTTACAAATAACATATCATATTAGTTTAAAAGGGTCTTAGGCCAAGTAAGACTGAAAATAATTTAGGGTCAATTTAGGCCGTAGCACATATTTACATTTAAAAATGCATATTGAAGCTATAGGAAATAAAAATTTGTGTCTTTTCTATCATTTCTATACTCAAGTGACATGATACAATAAATCTGAGCACAAAAAGACTCTTGCATTCAACTTTTTGTGCAGACAGTATGGTCTGATACAAAGATTTTTTCACTTTTTAGTGAAAAACTTGCATGCAATTTTAGTCTCAACAGGCTTATATTTGAACCACATGCTATCCTACAGAAGAAATGAAAAGATATTATGTGAAATGAAACAGGTACAACAGACATTGTTAAGTTCTTTTTATACAAATTTAGTGAGGTATTTATTATGGACTTCAACTTTTATGTACCAAGCTCCTCACATTTAACTTGATCCAAACAGGGTGTTAGACGAGGGTCATTTATACAACAAATTTTGCACATATTGTCTGAGATAATCTTCTTTTCTGTAGATTCAGAGTTCACAAATGAGTAACACAACTGGAGTAAAGCATAGAAACACAAATATTGACACATGAAAACCTGTCAGATAGAAAGTCAGAATGCCACTTATGCATCAAAATTGAAAAAGCTATGAAATGCTTATTTTGACCATATAATGCCAAAATTGGTCATTTTTGCAGAAATTCTATCAAATAAAAGTTTAAATCCTTTAGTTTTATGCTATTTGACAAATTGACACCATCAAATCATTCAGGGAAGTTGCCAAAGTACAGATTCTATATTTCGTGATTTGACCTCTTAGGTCCGAGTACACAGTTATTTCGTAGTGCATTTCTTTAAGACAATAAATGAAAATAAAAAAAAATCCCAACTGCGCTTTCTCAATAATATTTTTACAGTGTGTTGTACTACTTTTGGGACAAATCATATCAAAATTATAGAAAACTTCATCGGCTCTAACTCAAAATATGGACAATTTTATGTTAAGGGGGTCTTGAAATCTTTTGACAGCTTCCGAAGTGCTAATTTTTAACCTTTTTCAGCTGAACCAAATCACTACTTTACTTTAAAATTCATGACCCAAATATTTTACAGTGTCATTTCACCCCCTTACTTGCTATTTGAGGCAAAAAACATGGAGAAATAAATTTGGAAGGGGTATAAAAAAGATTGGCAAGTAACACACTGTCCACACTAAGGACTATATTCGTGGACAACGAAAATCAAAGGACGATAACTATGTACTCGGACCAGCTCTTAATTAGGTCCTTATGATATGTTATAAAGACTTAAGAGCTACGGTTCTGCAGCTACCTTACCATCAATTCTTTGAAGAAACCTATATAAAAAATAAATATATATACAACAATATACATGAGAATATATAAAATGATATAAA